GAAATATTTATTTAAAGCCTACTAAGTCGGGAGATAGTCCCCCTGTCGAAAACCCGATGGGGCCCTCTTCCAGAGCTTTCTACAGTACCAAGCAGTAATTGTAAAAAAAAATGGCTGCTTTTTTTTTCACCTTTTGGTATGGGCTACACTCGGACATTTCAATACATTTGGGGTTTTAGCTTGCGGACCGGCAGCTATCTTTCTGACTCAGCCTATGAATGCCAAAATTACAAAAGTTGAAAAAAGGCCACAAAATTATTAGGGTTCTCAAATGTGCAAGTCTTAGTGCAAAAACCTCTGGCTGTGACGGGGTCACACAGCACCTTGCGCTAGAGGAAGTTAGCTTCCGAGAGTATGCAAACGCTCAGTGAACGGCAGTTCACAGGCCCCCTTTTATCGAAAGGGAGCGAAGTGACCTATTTAAGGTATGTAAATCTAGTATATTTTAAGGAGACTAGCCCGGCCAGTGTACCCCTTTCTCCGTTGGAGAGAAATCTGCCTTCAAAGCGAAGCTGGTACGATTTTCATGGCATACGCTGGGCTCTTGGCCCCATTCTTCCACTCGCCGTCTCGGAGCCACTCATAATATGAGTGGCATGACTAAACCTCGCTCAGCCAATGGCTAATGCCCAGGAAGGTCTGGGTTTTGGTTTAGGAGGGTGATAAATTCACGCGAAGTCCTCCACCTTTGGAGATTTGAAGCCTGATGACACCCATTCCTTAATCTTCATAAATACCCGCCAAACGTGCAACAGAGAGTGCAACCACGATGTGATTGGAGGAAATGCCTTCTTACTGAATCTGACTCACTAAGAGCTACAATCGATATGACAAATGACCACCTTGTTGCTTGTCTCGGCGAAGAGCAGCTAAACTTTTGTCACAGGAAGCTGTCGCCTGTATGCTGCGTATACTTTGTCGATAACAACATCACTAGTGAATCCTGCGCGAACGAATCCAGAGACTACGTCCCAGAAAAATTTGCACCCTGAGTAGGCAAACTTGTTGGCTCCTCACTCGGTACCGGTAAACGCTTTCGCTGGCTTTAAGCCGTTTAAGCCGAACTCGTACCCCCCCCACTCGTACAGATCCTTCGGTCTTTTCGACAGTACCGCGTGGTGAGCTTCGTGCGCAGCACTGTCATCTGTGCATGCTTCGGTGGCGACGAGCGTATTGGGCAACACTCTCCTTGCAACAGGCTATAGAGCAATACGCCGGTAGACAGCCAATTTCTTTTGATGGTTTCGCTGGCATTAATTCACTCTTAACGGGATCGGGACCCTTCGGGTCACGAAGCACAGACGTTTTGCTTCAGCAACACAAACCGGTGTGCTCGAGGTCTCTCGTTTAGCATGGAGTCCGCCGTCTCGACGGTCGCAGATGCCTCCACTAGTAGTGGAGCTTGTGTGAGCACACACTGGACTGCTGTACAGAAGGCAGGCAGCAAGCGCACAGTTCCTCCGCCCTCGTCGGACGACTACAGCACTTGGACGGTAGATCAACTAAAGTTAGAGTGTACCGCGCGTAAGCTTTCTGTGGCGAAGAATACCAACAAGGCCCTATCCTTCAGGGGTACGATGAGTCCCAGAATGCCATGGAGCTGCTACTGGACCGTCAGCGGCAGGCCAAACGTGGTAGGGGGCCTTCTGCAGAGACCACTCAACGCAGAAGCAAGCACTGTTTGTATCGCCTGCTCAACGTACTCTTCTCTGAAGATTTTTTCGAGAAATTTATCACATCTGGTGACGCACTTACACGGCGTGAGCTAGATGAGGGTGGTCGGGAGTTCTGGGAGCAGGTGGCCGAAGCTTTCAGTACATTTAACGATGACTTCGACCGTCTTGTGTCTCCAGACTCGTTGTTTGAGGGTATTGAACCACAGTTAATTACGGCTCATTCCGGTGCAAAACTTAAGTCTATGTGGAAGGAATGTAATTCGCGTTTCGCCGCAGCCGAAGGAAGATGCAAATTATCAGGTTCACATGACGAATTTTGGCAATTTTGCCAAGGAGATAAAGTAGCCATGTACGTTCACCTGTGGTGTGAAGAACGCGGTTCAGGTCGGGAATTTTGTGCTACTTGTATTTACGAGGATAACGAAGATGACGAATCAAAAGAGCGGGGGCCAAGTGAAAAGAAGCAGAAAGTGAATAGGAAGCGGCAAAAACAAGATGATCAACGAAAGAGTCTCGATTCCGTTTCCATTCTCACTGAAGCTGTTAACAAACTCGTCGAGATTGAAGTATCGAGTGCAAAAGGAGCATTAATTGAGGAGAAAACCGCTGTTGCACGTCTTCAACGCGAGAAGATGGAGAGAGATGTATTGGTGGAGAAAATAGCCGCTGTGGATGGAATTTTAGCTCGTCGCCGTCAAGCATTGCACGATCTCGACATACGCATCTATGAGAACGGACTTAAAGGGATGGACGTCGCTGATCTAGAACGTGAACGTGAGTCTGCATTTCGGCGCGTTCAGACTGCGCAGGAGAAATCGGACGAGCTTCAAGATCACATAATGAGGGACTAACTGATCAATGAATATTTGTTCTTACCTTAATATCCCGATTGGTTTTTATTTACTTAAAGGCCTTGCTAAACTGTATCTCTGAATGTGCTCTAAAACCACTTTGCGAAAGATATGACCGTTTACAACCTGCATATTATCTTTACCCGTGTCGTCAGCTACTGTGGGCAAATAGCTGCAGTTTTCCATTGCGCTAAATTCTCTTGACGCGGCATTGCTTGGTCCTCCACTTTCCGGTTGAGAAATGCGCTCGTTAATACAGTAATTAGTAATTCCATACAAGTTTTGATAACGAGCCCTGCATGTACATAGTCCACTGCCAGTGGCCTTATAAATATTTGCCAC